AGGATTAAATGAGAAAACACTTGTAAAGCCTCGGCCCAGGAGGCTGTGGGTGCTTCACGGTGGCTCAACATTCTCATTTGCATCATTATCATTGCCAATACTAAGAACGGGCTAGAGACCTCCCGGGGGGAGGGCCGGACCCCAGGTTGGAATGACCCCTTTGCCCCAGTGACCACTGACCTGGGTGGAAGGTGGGAGACCAGAGAACTGATGTCTGAGAGTCAGGAGCCTAGCCAGACTTGCTGGGTTCCCCTAAGCAAGCCCCTGACCTCTGGCCCTCAGTCAGTAAAAGACCCTCAGGTCTCCAGCTCTGGAGCTCATGCTTGCATGAGAATCCTCCCTGCCCCCGCCATGTCCCACCATGGGGATTAGTGACTTGTGGCATTGGAAGCTGGGGTGCAAGTACGGATGGTCAGGATGGGGGTACCCTGGCCTGGTATGAGCTGGGGATGGGCACTAAAACAAGGCCCATCTCCTCAGGGCCTGTTGGCAGTTCCTAGGGGATCACAGGGGGGCCCTAGGAGAAGGAAGGCTGTGCCCACCCAGGCTGTGTTGCCATGACGCTAGTCTCCATGGTGCCAGGCACACAGTTCTCCCCTCACCCAGGAGGAGGGGCTGAAAGTGACAGGATACGAGGCAGCTCAGGTCCCTGGGTCCCCTAGGCCTATCCCTGTCTCCGTAAGCTCCCCCCCCACACACAAGGTCCCCATCCTGAGCCCCTCAGGAGGGAGGGCAGGGAGGAAGCACAATTTCTACCTCAGAGGGCCAAGAGTGACAAGAAAGGACTCAGAATGACTGAGGTGCAGGAAGACACAGACAGGAGCATAGAGAAGTGGCAGAGGGAAGGACAGAGAAGCTGAGGAGAGACGGAGGGAAAAGCGGGCAGTGGGGAAGAAGGGGTGGGAGGGAGGGAGGATGCTATAGTTACGGAGGCGGATGTGCCTCCCAGGCTGACAAGTGGTGGGAGGGCCATCCAGCCCATCTCTTTGGTCTCAGTGTTTTGAGGTGGGTGGTGTTGGGAAGAGAGTGGAGGAGGGGGAGCAGGGGAGGGGCAGTTTTCCTAGAGAGCTCTGTGGTGGGGGCGTTTAGACACGTGCCATGCATGTGTCTGTGTGCGCGCACGTGCGGGCGTGTGTGCATCTGGAAGTGCAGGCTGAGGTGTGCAGGCACGTGTGTATAGGGCATGAGTGTGTGTGTGGCATGTGTATGCCTGTGCCACTGTGTCTCCAGGGTGATAAATACAGCAGTAGGAGCTGTAACCAGGGCAAAGAAAGTGCGGAAATTTCCACAAGCTGAAAGTGGCATGGGAGAGGGGACACACTAGGGCTGGACCATCTTGGGCTGACCAGGGGACCTTGCTCTGATAGCTCTTCCCCAGGCCAGTCCCTAGATGGGTGCAAGTGACCTGGGCACGTGAACACACATTCTAAGTACACACAGTATAGCAAGATGGAAGAACAGTCCAGAAGAGCTTCCTGAAAGAAGTGTCACATTGGAGGAGAGGCTGGGAGGTTCATGTTAGCTGTACTTATTATGTGTGTGTATGTGAGACAGACAGACGTTTCCCAGGTGCGAGCCTGGGATCACTTAGGCCACAGAGCTAGCTAAAGGACTAGGAGCTATTCCTTTTTCTGGCTGGGGAAGACCCTGAGGACTCCATTTGTCTGGAAAATGTAGTTGTATTTCAGAGGCAAGAAAGGCAAAATCCCCAATAGCAGAGGCACTGGGGACAGGCCCTGGGGCACTCAGCTGCAACCACACAGGCTGCTTACTGCAGGCTCACATCACCTTGCCTCTGGTTCATGCCATTCCCTCTTCTGAAGACACCTTTCCCTCTTAACTCCACCCACAGAAATATGCTGGTCTTTTTAGCCTCACCCCCTCTGTGGAGTCTTTCCTGATCAATACACCTACCGGAAGGGCTTCTTCCTTCCCCCACAGCATTTACTCATCTGCTCCCCCTCATGGTTCAGTAAAGCACTGCACACAGTAGGTGTTCAAGAAGTGCTTGTTGAAGTAAAATATATCGGACCTAGGGGTGCCTGGGCGACTCAGCTGGTTGGGCATCACACTTTGGCTCAGGTCATGGTCTCGTGGTTTGTGAGTTGAAGCCCTGAATCGGGCTCTGGGCTGACAGCTCGGAGCCTGGAGCTTGCTTCAGATTCTGTGTCTCCTTCTCTCTCTGCCCCCCGTCCCCGCCCCCCGCCCCCTGCCCCTGCCCTTCTCTCTCAAAAATAAATAAACGTATAAAAAAAATTTAAAAAAAAAAATATATATATATATATATCGGGCCTGAAGACTCTGGATGCTAGGTCTCCCCAGACATGTTTGAGAAGGGGATTATCAGGGGACAGTGTTAGGTACTTCACACTTACTAGCTCATTTAATCCTCCCATTAGTAGCTACTATTAATATCTCCAAAGCAGATGAGAACAGTGAGGATCAGAGACCTCAGGAACTCAGCCAAAGCTCCAGAGCTTATAGATGGGAGTGTCGGCATCTGCCCAGCTGGCATCCACACCCATGCTTTTCCAAAACAGCAAGCTGTGGGCAGGGGGCTCAGGAGCCACCAGAGCTTGAGGCCAGAAGAGAAGGCCTTAGCTCCAGGTCCCCCCGCCCCCAAGATCTGGGGGAAGCAGGGAGGAGGCAGGGCTCCTTCCCAGTCCCATTGATTTCCTGCAGAGCCTGGGGATCTCCTGAGGTCCAGAGGCCCTCGAAGGCTGCTGAACACTTTTCAGGGTGGGCAAGTTGAACAGGAAGGAGATGGCATCCCATATCCCATCCCATCTCCCAGCCCTTCCCCCGTTCTGTCCCTACTCTCCATCCACAAAGCCCTCACCACCCAGGCTGACTTGCCACAGCCTTCTCTCCCAGGGCTCACTGTGGTCCCCTGCAATCAGACCCACTTGCGTCACCCAGTCCTCTTCTCCCAGCATCTCAACCCACCCTCACGCCAACTTGCACCCCTCCCAACCATGTGTACCTGGCAAGGCTTCCACTTTTCAGGCCCAGCTTTGGGGAACCTCAAAGAAAGCCTCCTCCCTCTCCAAGAGTTGCTCCCTACTTTTCAGCAGGTCCAGCTCTGGGCTCCTCACACATCTACCCTCCACACCCCCACCCCCACCCCCAGCCCAACCTCAAATAATATGTGAAAAAACCACTCAAGGTCCCAAGAAGCCCCATTTCTAGGAATCCTTGTGGCCACAACCAGCAGAGCCTCCTGGCATAACCCACCCATCACACTGCTGTCATTGCCACAATGCATTAAAGTTCAGGCCTGAAGGCTCCTGTTGGGATGCTATCCCTGATCCCAAGGGTTAGCACTTTAAGCTATCATTAACTCCTGACAGTACAGATCCCCTTCCCCATGGGACACACCAAGTGGAGAGAGCAGAGTTGGACATGCCAAGTGGAGAGAGCAGAGCTGAAGTCAGGAGGGGTGTGGAAGAGGGAGACACCCCTCTCCCCTACAAAGTGGGATAGTAGAAATGGACCCCAGCCCTGATTCAGGAGAGTTATGGGCCCTCGGGCAAGTTGGCTCACTTCTCTGAGCCTTTCCTCCTCTGCCAGGAGGAGACAGTGCATAGAGCACAGGTGCTGACCCACAGTGGGTACTTGGAAAAGAGCTATTCTCTCCTCCTGGCTCCTAGATCTTGGGAGTCCAAAGCACTGTGCTGCCTTCCAGAATATCACTAGTCTTGGGGTTAAAGGCAGGGCCAGGTTCCACCCCACACTCCAAGAGAGCAAGGTCTGGGTCAGCACCGCCACACTGGGGCCCCCAGAACCTGTCCTGGGACCTCCAGAACGTGTCCTGGGACCAGCCACATTGAGCTATCCACGGCTGCCCCCTGGTGGCCCAATTCAGTCACTGCAGTCAGTCCCTGAGCCTGTCAGTGACACTGGCAGCCTAGCACGGGGCACTTCTAAGTCTCACCCACCCTCTCTCTGCACCTCAGAACTAGCTGGTCAGTCTGAAGTCAGATCCTGGGAAGAATTCCAGCCCGTGAGCACTTGGACAACAGTCTTGGCCTAGCTGCAGGCAGGCAGAATGGTCATTCAATCTGTCAGCCTGGCCTGGAGCAGCCCGGTTAGGGCAGGATAAGAGTGGGAGACTCCAGGGGCTTAGCCCCAGCCTGTGAAACTGACCAGAAAACCCATTCCAGTCTGGCATCCACCTCCCCTTCTCAAGAGACAGGAACAAGGAACCTGGAATCCAGGACCCCAAGACCCCATCCATATACACAGGCCTCCCCAGGGCTGGATCACATGAATCAGAGATCATATGACCCATATCCACCCTGTTTGCCCAGCCCCACTGGCTGAAGCTAAGGCTGGGAGGTCAGCCTGTCTGCCTGCCGGGCCCCTGGAGAGAGGCCGTTAATGAGGCTCCAGGCAGAGGCAGGAATGTGGTGTCTGGCACCTTCCCAGAGAGTCCCAAATAGGTCTCTGAACAGCTCGTTATCTCCCCCACTTGCCAGGGCCTTGTCTTCCTGGAGGAGACAACCAGGCAGTGCCCAGTGAGGACAGCTTCCTGGTGCAAGGCAGGGCCCTCCTCCGGAGGGACATGCACAGGGATAAAGGGACACTTCTTCTTCCTAATAAAGCTCCTGTGACTTTGTGACCTCGTGTTTCAGAGGGGCTGGTGAGGGGCTGCCCTGGGTCATTCACATGCCACACCCAGGCCCCGGCCCAGACTCTAGACTACAGCAGGGAAAGGGGCTCGGTCCAGCTGGGGTCTGTCCTGGCCAGGGTCAGGACTGGTATTCTCCACCCTGACTGCACAGGCATGCACTGGGGTGGCATGGAGCTGGGCCGGGGCTCTGCCTGGGGCAGGAGGGAGTGGCTAAACAGCTCAGAGCCTGGAAAGAACAGGGCCCACGCCCCCCCCCCCCCCCCCCCACTTCAGGGTACTAGGCACTCACCTCTGGGCCTCCTGAACTCCTGTCCCCTCCTACACTGGAACACCTGAAACCCCCAACCAATCACAGGCTTCAGCACCGTAGGATAAAATATACAGATATATTTATATTATCAAAAGGCCCCCAAAGTGGGGAAGGGGCACCAGGCGGCCTGGGCCCTCCCAGTCAGCCTAGACCAGAGGAGGCTCCTCAAGTCCCCCAGCCCCAGTTCTAGGCTATAGAGAAACTTACCCAAGAGCTCCCTCCCTATCCCAGCTGAGTGTTCCTTTAGAGCATCCACTTTTTGCTGTTCTGGAGTTTGTGACAAGAGGGTGGGCTCCCTTCCAGCGGGGGCCCCAGGGCTTCGAGCCTCTGCAAGGATGGTGGTCCTCCAGAGTTTCTGAATGATGCACATCCCATCTCTCCAACCCCTCAAACTCAGGGTGGGTGACCCTGGAGGGGGGAGCAGGCCAGGCCAGGAGAAGCACCCAGACAACAGATGAGGGGTCCTCCTCAGGCAGACCCTGCTGCCCCCCACTTCCTGGCCAGGGAACCCCATGTTGCAACCAGGATGTGGGATGTGGGGTGTGGCTTCCTCATGCATCCCCTGCTGGTTCACACCAGGCACGCAGGGCACGAGGGTGTCTGAACAGGAAGGCTTCAGGGCAGCAGAATCTCAGAGCCAGGGGCTGGCTTCTGCGCTCAGACGTTGCGGAGGAGCTGTGGGAAGGTACAGAAGCCCAGATTCCATAAGCACTTTGTGAAGGTTCACAGGGACCAGCGGCCCTGCTGAAGCTTCTGCAGCTGCTCTGTAGTGCTGGCTTGGGAGTGCTCAGGTCAGCCGGGGTCCCCAGGGCCAGGTAGAGAGGGGGCTCCTGAGAGCTACATGAACCAAAAGAGCCCGTCAGGACTGCTAGGAGGCTGGAGGGAGGGGGCCAGGGGGCAATCGGGTGAGTCAGGTGGGAAGCGGGCAGCAGCCAGGTCCCAGGGCTCTGCCCATAGGGATGGAAAACTACTCACAGAAAGGGGGTCCGCAGCAAAGGCGGCCACACTCCTTCGCATTTCGTTCTCACTGCCGCGCAGAGGGATCAATGAAACACTGCCCAGCCGGACCTCAGGCACTGCCCGGGATACACGGGAGGGCTCCGAGGGCCACACCAGGCCGTCATGCTGGGGAGCAGGGGAAGAGGAGGACACTCAGCTCACCCAGACACTCAGCTCCAGATCCACCCACCCTTCCCAGAAACGCCTCCAGCTATGATCTGAGGTGACCCTCTCAGCTTTGATCCCAGTCGATATGAGAAGCAGCTGTTAGGAGAACATGACTGTATCCCTGGCAGAACCCAGCCAGTTATGTTACTCAACAACCCCCACCTCCAGGTCCACAAACAAACTGCTCCAAGAATGCAGCACCAAGAAAACAGTTCTAGAGGAACATGTGTGTGCTTTCTTTCACCAGGAACCAACAAAACTATAGAATCTGCCTGTTTCTCTTTAGGCTTGACTACCAGGAAGCTCGGGGCTAAAAGAACTCAGCCCACAGCCCTGGCACCGTTCTGTCAGCCTTTTCCCTAAACAATTCTGAGCTCTGGTTTAGAATCTGTGGCTTAAGTCCAACCCCTCCCACTCCCAACCCCTCACCCCAGCCCTGCTCTGGCTCCAAGCCCCTCCTAGCCTGTTCCCACCTGGCCCACTTCGGCAGCCACCTCACTCCTTCAGCCTGTCCTCCCCTGCACGCTACATCTAGAATGAGCCCTCTCAGACGCAAACTTGCACACCGCTTTCTTGCTTAAAACTCTCCCTGAAAACTGCTGACTAGGTCAAGTTCAGCTCCCTTTGGCATGGCCTTCAAGGCTCTTTCAGATCTGGCTCCTGAATCCCTTTCCAGTGTCAACTTCTGGTACTCCTGGCTTCTCTTTACACCCCACTGGGCAATCTGTGGTTCTGTTGCCATGCCTTTCAATAAACTGTTCCTTCTGCCTAGAAGCCTCCCCGACCTGCCCCCGCCCCCCAACCTCCAACCGCCTTTGCTTGATGAAGGCTTCCTCATCCTCAGACTCAGCTCCTATGACACCCCCTCCCTGCTGCCTTCCCTCCACACCCACCACCTCCAGCGGGTAGGGTCCCTGGGCTTTTCTCTATCTCCATACACTGACCACATTGGGCTATTTAACAGGCAACTTCAAGGTCTGTTTTCCTTTCTACATGGGGAGTGCCTGAGGGCAGGGGTCTGCACTCTGTCTCTAGCATGCCTGGCTTGGGGTTGCACCAAAGTGGACTCTAGGGAGGGTTTGCTGAGTGAAGAAAAGAATTAAAAGCAACTCAAAATCTCCTTGATGCAATTGATGCCCTATGTAGTGAAGAAGCAAACATACCCATTCTCCATAATGGAAGCCTCACGGGACCCCACCCTGAGCTGGTACCTGCACAAAGAGGAAGGTGGCAAACCACTCCCGGAGCTCCATCTGTGTCTCACAGCAGAGGTACCTGCGGGGCGGGGCAGGGCACGGATCTGGACACTGCCAAGGCTGAGCAGCCTGCCTGGCTCTCCAGGCAGGGTGCATATATGGACAATAAAGGGACCCAACCAAAGGGAACATGCAACCATCTCTCCCAACCTGGGGTCTCAGGCCAGGGCCCTTACTCACCACTGCTGCTTCTCATGTTTCTCTGTCTCGTGCACCACTGTGAAGCCCCAGCTGCAGAGGAGGGGCAGATGGAGTCACTTGCCAGCCCACAGAGGCCTCCCAGCCCAGGTGCCCGGGACGGAGCCCAGAAGCCTGGGCCAGAGCCGAGGGGCACAGTTCAGGGCCTTCTTGCAAGCACGGCACATTCTGGCCACAGCCTCTTCCTCTCACAGCTCACACCAGCCTCCCAGGCCCTTGGCTCCCTATACCCATGCCACCCCACCCAGGCCTGCCCTAGTCTCTGAGAGACAGCTAGGCACAGCCAGCAGATGAGAGGAGAAAGTCAGAAAACCAAGTCTGGTGGCTGTAATTAACAACAATAATAGTGGCTATGCATCACTTTTCCACTTAAAAGCATACTACAACCACCCTTGGAAACAGGTGCACCATTATTTTCCACATTCTACACATGTGGGAAGTGAGGCACAGGAAGATCCCTGAGATAGTCAGTGACAGGATTTCAATCAAGGCCAGTGGTTCTCAAACATGAGCAAACTTCAGCGTCGCCTAAATGGCTTGTTACCATACAGACTGCGGGCCCCACCCCCTAGGATCCGTGACTCAGCAGGTCTGGGGTGGGACCAAGATGTGGGCTGCTAACATGTTTCCAGGTAATGCTGAGGCTGCTGGTCTGGGAGACCACACCTTCAGAACCATGGTATCAACCCCTGTCAAGTTCAAAGCCCCCACTGTGCTGCAACCCCACCCCACCCCCACCCCAATCTGTTCTGAGCTCTCCCAGGCCCCAGCCCCAGCTAACCAGGTGGGTGGCCGGAGTTTCTTCTTCACTCCCAGGTAGACTTTGAGACTCCTGACGGGCCACTCCTTCTCAGGCCGGTGACTCTGGGGTGGGGGCAGGCAGAGGGATGACACTTCAGTCGGTCAGGGCGGGAATTGGGGTGACTGGGTACCTCCCTCCTCCCTCTTCCCACCCCCCATTTGCATCCCAGCACAGGGAACCTCCTGACAAAGCCCTTCCTGTTCACAATCCAGCCCAACTAACCTCCCCACTCCCCCCAGGTTTCTCTCCCTGCAGCAGCATCAGACAGTCAACCCTCAGTCCCCGAGGCAGCCGTTCCAGCAGGACCAGGGAGTGATTCTCAGTCCCTTCCTGCTGCCCTACAAACTGGAGAACTGACTTGTAGCATCAGCTGAATCAGTTTGTCTATGGAGGGAGAAGTCTGCACCTCGCCCTCTGGCACCAAACTGAATGAGCGTGTATGATCTGAGAGCCTTGGTTGGCTGCTTGGGTCTGTTTGTCTCCGGTTATAGATTCCTCGCCCCTCTCCACCCCACGGAGGCTCCAGGGTTGACCGTGTGAACAGAAGACCTGTGGGGTCAGCAATTACTAGCTCTTTGGTTCCACGAGGGGAAGGCTAATGACTCAAGCTGAAGCAGAACTGCTGTTTGGTAGACCAAAGGAAGAACTTTCCAGTGGTCTAGGTCAGGAAGCAAGAGACCGATGTACTGGGGAGGGGCACCAGATCACTGACATGCTCACCTCTGGCCCCCACCTCTGCATATGGGTCTGGGGTTGGAAGGAACAGGCTGGCTCCGAGACAGAGGTATGGGAGCAATGACCCCCAAGGTAAAGGCTAATTGGAAGTCAAGCTAATGAGCCTTCCTTCTGCTCTGGGAGCCACCTGCTCGAAGCCCTACCCCCACCAGGCTCCCGGCACCAGTAGGGCACCAGGATGGATGGTAGGGGAGGGGGACTCACTTACAACCAAAACTGGGGGTCAAAGTTTGAGCCACCTCCACCCTGTGCCCACCATTGCTATTAGCCACCCCCAGGCATGGCTCCTCAGCAGGAACAAAAAGAAGGGACTAAGGGATGGCCAGGGAGATGGAAAGTTTCAGGGATTGGTAGACTCCCTGTGAGGCTGCAAAAGGATGGGCTGCCTAGATAAGTGGAGACTTGGGTGCTGTCACAGGGAATGTGGTTTAAGAGGGCTTACTAGAGACCTTTTACCTTGCTTTTGCCCTGATCCTCCCTGAGGACCAAGTGCCCAAGGGGGCCTGGAAGAAACTGGGCTGTGGACAGGGAGGAAACCGGGCAGTGGGGTCGGAAACCAGGCTGTAAATAAGGGGTGGGCAAATACAAGAAAGAAACCTCCAAGCCAGCAGGAAAGAAGCAAGGCTGAGAGTGCTGAAGAAGTCAGACTGCAGGGTGGAAGGAACCAGGTAGTGGAGATGGAAAGACTTGAGACAGAGGTTGCAAAAGAAGTTAGGCTGTAAACATGAAAACAGCAGGCTCTGGGCACAACAGAAGAAAGGATGTGGGGAAAACCCATGTTGCAAGTATGGAAGGCAGCAGGCTGAGGGAATGGAAAGCAGGCTGAGGGCTCGGAGGAAGTTGAGCTGTGGGTGCCAGGGAGGGAGAACTAGAAGCAAGGAGTAGATGAGTTGACAGTGGAAGGAACAGGCTCGTGGGTGTGACAGAAACAACGGTTCCAGTCAGGGCGTGGAGAGAATTGTGGGAATCAAGGAATTCAAACCAGGCTGTGGCTCCCTGAAAATTCGAAAAAACAATCCTCAGGCCTCCACTCCCTCAGGCTCTGGTGTGTGTGGTGTATGCGCAGCACATGTGTGACAGGAGTATGGCTGAGACAGGAAGGTTGAGGGGGAGATTTGGAGAGCGAGGGGTACATCAGACAACGCAGGACTTCGTTTCTAATCAAAGAGCTCATGTTTCCAGCATTGCTGAGGTATGAGGTCACTGGAAAGAATAAAATTCACCCCTTGATGCTCAAAGACCTCTGCTGGAGCCAAGACTGTTCTAGAATGTGCCTTTCCCAGGTGCTTCAAGGTCTTTAACAATGGAAGATGCCCAGGCCTTGGCCTGGGTATTCGCATATCCTGAATTGTTGGGTGTTGCCCCAATTTCAAATATTCTGTTCTGTTCCTCCATAAAATAGCAAATGCTGGAATTACCAACACCTCAGTAGCCAAACCACACCCTCCTGGGGCTTCTGTCAGGGCAGAGGTGTGGCTGCCATTCAGAGAGCAGCACTGATCAGCTCCGCCAAAGAGTCCCTGTTTTCTGTACTTCAAGGAATAAAGAGCTCGAGCTCTGATGGGGCTACCTAGAGATGGCCTTAGGCAAGGCACTCGAAGCCTGTTTTCTCACCTGTGAAATGGGGATAATACCCCTCCTCCGGAGGACGCTAGTGGGAGGACATGTCCTAGTATGTGGAGGGCCGGGCACCAAACCTGGCTCACTTAAACATTAGATCTTTTTCCTTTCTCTAGTTCTCGTGCCATTTCCCCTCCATGCTAAGGGATTAGCAGCTGCTTTTTCAGGTGCCTCAGCCACCCTCCTTCCTCTCTGCCCACAATGATGGTCTTGCTCCGCTCCAAGTACCATCATAAGGAGGGCATCAGGGAAATAACATCCCAGAACCAAGGGAGACTGAGTGGAGGGGTGAACAGGCCCAGAAGTAAGTAATCATAGAGGGAGGCAAAAGAGAGGAGGCATTGCCTATGAGGATCTGTAGGAGCCCAGGCTGTATTAGTAGAGGTATAATGTGCAAAGAGAGGGAGGTGAGGATCCTGGTCTATCTGCTCTGCTCCCTCCATGACAGCTAGGCCTGCCCAGTGTCCTCAGGAGAGGCAAGGGACAGGAAGGGCTGGAATCACTGGTGGGAATAGCTATGGGAGATCCGGTTAGACCCTTGGATTGGAAATACATTTCCGCTGCCCATTACTACAGCGCATCTATGCTCTGTGGCCCCTAAGGTATCGCTGGAACCCACAGGGGCATCACAGGTGGCAGGTTCTCAGCTGAACTTGAGCAAGGGCCTTCTCCCGGCAAAACTATCCCTCTAGGGATAGGGCAGTCCCAAGGGAGGAGTGGATAAGCTCCCCTCTCCCAGAAGTGTGCATGTAAGGGTTGGCAACCAGCCAGGGAGGCTGAGCGGGAACTCGTACCACAGGTGAACTATACCACAGGCCCATTTAGTCTCACCCCAGCATTTTAGGATCAGGGTAGTAGCATGGGCATTCTGATAGTCTTGAAACTCTCTCCATGGTTGGGACAAGGATGGCTCCAGGGGTGGCAGGAGATGAGGGTCAGAGCTCTAATTCAAACCTAGGGGTCTCTGATACTGGCTCCACAGCCTCCACACCTAGTCTTTTGGAAAACTGTAAAGCATCACACTGATGGGGGCTCAACCTTCTTGGGAAAAGGACTCTGGGGCATGGGTGGGGATGAAGGACAGGAGCCCAGGACACAAGCCCAAAGACGGGAGCCAGTGCTGATAGGCAAGAGGGCAGGGAACCATGCCTGAAGGTAGCGAAGAGCTCTGGCTGTGTCCCCACGCTCCCGCCAGGCTCACTTGGCCCCCAGGTGGTGTAAGGCAGCTAGCAGTTGGCCCACAGCTACTCACGGTCTCAGGGGCCCCGCTCCATGGCCTCTGGCTCTGTTTGATAGAGGATCAGAGTTATGGAAGAAGGAGGTCCGGGTCCACAGCCAGGACAGTGTGTGTGGTGGTGCATGGCGGGATGTGGCAGGTATGTGCAGAAGATGTTGGGGGCAGGGTGCCAAGACCTGGGAGGCTGCCTGGCATGTGGACAGAGTGGGCATGGAGGAGGTACAATCTGTGAAGTGACAAGATGTGCATGGGCCACGACGGGGGCTGTCACCACATAGCATGTTCTTGTGGGTGCCGTGACAAGGCACAGGCACAGGTGAGACAGCATGAGTCTGACGTGATGGCACCAGAGACTAGCGCCTAGTGGGGCTACAGGGCACAGAAGAGCGGCCACCGAGGGCCACAGCAGAAGATTCCTGAGAGTCTATAGCTTTCCTCCACCACTGTGCCACCCCAAGACCCCGCGATGGGGTTGCTCCCACTGGTAGACACTGGCGAATGTTTGTGAATGGGTGTGTGAGCACACTTGGGTACAGACGCTCATTGCAGGGCACGACCCCCTGGGGTCACTTACCCGGACCTCCTTGTAGAGCCGAAGGCAGCTGCTGTTGAGGATGAAGTATCGGTCGTGAAAGCCACCTGAGGGCAGGCCCAGGCCCAGGAGGCTACGGTCCTCACGGAACTTCATCATGCCGTGCTTGGTGTCGCCTACGTGGCTGGCTGGGGGAAGACCGGAGTGGGCGTGGGCTGCACCAACCCCCTGCCCATGGATACAGACACCCAGGGGTGCATCCCAGGATGAAGGAAACTGCCCCAGCCTGCCCCAGCCACCAAAGAGGCCTGCCCACATGGCACTTTCTGCCCGAGCTGCTCCTGCCTGGGCTTCAGATGGAGGGACCCACCAGCCTGCCCAGCCCTGTAGGCGCCACCCACCCAGGCACACCACCTACCCAGGTACAGCAGCATGGCCTCCATGGACTGGTACTTCTTCACCACCAGGTAGCTGTCTGTGCCCAGCCCGTGCAGGATGGGCAGCACCTTCTCCGCAAAGTGCAGGGGGCGCTCTGGGGGGAGGTCACACCCGCTGTTACTGAGGGACCGAGGGCTGGCACACCCACATATCACCTACACGTCCGTGAGCACCACTCCCGCCACCTACCAGCGCCACAACACATCACCATCAGGACTACCCTTTCCATGCTCGAGCTGCAGGTCTGACACAACTGGCTGGGACCAAAGCTGTTCCAACCGAAGCCAGTGATCTTTCCCGTGTCCTCGTTGGGGAAAACACCACCTGCCGAGCCATTCAAGCCAGAAACACAGCTTCCTCCCCCCTTCCCTCCATATGTTAAATCTCTTTACTTCTGTCCATCATTGTTACCACGCTGGCCCCTGTTACCATCTGTCCTTGGACTAATACTGTGGCCTTCCGAGGGGTCTCCTGCACGTGCTCTCATTCCCCTCCTCACCTCTCCCTACCCGGCGGCAAGTAGCAACCTCTCCAAACTCCCAGTCACTAGCCCTTCAGGGGCCTTGCATTGTTGTCGGGCTGGGTGGCCGCCTCTGCCTCTGTCTTCAGTCCCACCCCATGACACAGCCCCCTCACTGCCCTTATCTCTAGCTCCTCAAAAGGGTGATGTCCATGGTCACCACAGGGCCTCTGCCTGTGCCGCTCCCACTGCCTGGAGACACTTTTCTCCCCCTTCACCAAGCAACTCCTACTCTTCACCTCCTAGTGTAGGGACTCTGTAGCCAGAGACCCCGTTACAAGCTCTAGGCAGTTATCACAGCCTCAGTTGTATGTTTATTGCTGAGGCCACAGGATTAATGTCTATTCCATGCGAGACTAACTCCCATGAAGCGGAGGGGCTGTGTGTCTGGCACTCAACAAATAACAGTAAAACAAATGGACAGATACACCCTCATTGTCCACTGCCATTAAGACCACCCTTCATCCTAAAATGCCTTTATCACTGTCTTTACCACCAAGGTTCCCTCACAACACCGTCACAACCACCCTTACAAACACCACCCCACCCCACCCTGCCTGACCCCTCTTGCACGGTCATCACCACCTACTGCCCCCTTCACCATCAATCCCATTATCAAATTCAGCATCGCCACCCTCGCAAGAACACCATTCTCACTGACACTGAGAAAGCACCGTCACAGTTGATACCATCAACCTCCTTCCCATCAGCCACATTATAGCCATCACCTCAACTCCCCCCGGCCCCCCACCATGCCACCACCACCATCATGGAGGTGACAGTGTGGAAGCAGCATCTATCATCCAAGACTCCCTTGACCACCACTGTTGCCACGCTGTGGGGTAGGGGAGGACAGACTGGGGCAGCAGCTCAGACAAGTACAGGCCACACCATACCCTGCACAAATCCTGGTGGCCACCTACCTGCCTCCTCCCTCTCATTGACCTCAAAGCAGGTCCAGTAGTCCCTCTCCCTGATGCCCACATTCCTGCGATCCAGGATCTCTAGGGTGAGCTCCTCAGCTGTCATGGCTGCTGGGATCTGCAGTGGCCAAGGAGGAAGAGGTCAGCCTACCCTGTTCCTGCCCCTGCTCTCCCACAACCTTGCTGTGATCCAGGGGCCGAGCCCACCCTTCGGGTCCTGGGATGCTAGAAGGGTGTCTCTAAGTGGTCCCGATGACCACTGTCTGGGGAGGAGGCAAAGAGACAGGCCCTGGCACCAGCCAGACACAGGTTCCAAACCAGGGCTCCCCTTGGGATAGAAGCCCTGCTCCCCTGGTCACCTGAGCCTGTGCCTGGCCCAGCCTGACTTCTCTGCTCCTCTGGCTCCTAGGTCCCTAGCTCTCACCTTGATATGCTGCTCGGTTTCCGCCTTCTTCTCCTCCAGGTACACTGTGCAGATGAAGTCACCGGCATGCTGTGAAAAGACAGGGCTCAGCTAGAGGCGGGGAAAGTGGGTGCAGGCAGCTATCCCGAGCACCCTACCCCAGGCCCAGTCTTTCACCTGGGTCCCGCTGGCAGTGCCAGCCACACGCATCTTCACAATGGCAGTGATCTCTTCCCGCTGCTTCCTCAGCTCTTCCTCATCCACCTGGGAGGAGAAAGACACAGGAACAGATGATCACTGCCACCCAAGGGGCCCGTCCCTGCCCTCCAGTGCCCACTGGCGGGGGACGCACGCTAAACACCACCACATAGTGGCCGATGAGGTCTTCTACCACACGGCCAGCCTTGTAGTCCTGTCCATCTGTCTGGAAGAGCGTGGGTCCAAACACAATAGCCAGGTTGTGCGTGTTCATCTGGTTTGTGTCTGAGAAGCACTGGACGCTGGACAGGGGAAGACAGAGCCCTGAGTGAGAAGTCCAGCCCCGAACCTCCCCACTTCACCTTCCCAATTCCAGGCAGGTCCACAACTGACTCCTGGAGGGAGGCCAGGGAAAGTCCTGGTCAGAGTGAACCACCAGTTAAGGGGAGATGGGAATAGTCTTTCTGGCCATGCCATAGGTCCTGGGGAGGAACAGAGCTGGGAAGCTGGGAGATTTGGACAAGGTCCCCTGGGTCCCAGGTGAAACCACCTCTATTCTCCCACCCTGCAGGAAGTAAGTTGGGAGACAAAGGGTCCAAGATCAGGGCACATCAAAAGTCCACATTCAGTTCCCAGGCCTACCTGGTTCTGTGGGGAGGGCAGTCAGCCAGGAAGGAGTAGAAGAATCCTTTCCACCCCAACCCCCCAGAGCCATACAATAATAATGTTCCTCACCAGTACAGGTGGCTGATAAGGGCCTTCACTGTGGCTCGGTTGACTGGAGGCAGATGTGCCAAGAGCTCTCTGTATCTGGAGACTTTCTCCTCCTCGTCCTCAATCTCTGGGTGGGGGGAAATAGATCAGGTCAGGAGGCCCCCCATAACCACCTCCCCTGTCCCACCCTTCTGGCTGCTCTGCCTTTCCTCCTAGGTGAATAGCACTTCCTGTATAGAGTGACAAGGGAAGGAGAAGCAGAGGGAGTAAGGGAGACGGGGCATGCCTCATTGGATGGGAAGGGGAGGGGTGGGAATTTGGAGATAGGAGTGGACAAGTCAGCAGCACTAGCCTGGGTCTCAGGCTGGCAAGGACTACAGGGCCCACCTGAGGCCTCTAGCCAGGCTAGGCGCTGGGCGCGAGTGAAGAGACCATCGGGCAGGTCTCGCAGGAAGCGCTTGAGTGCTGAGGAGACATCGTCTACATGCTGCTCGCCCTCCTTGAGGCGCACAGACCGAGCGTCCTGCCGCAGACTCTCCAGCAGCCGCTGAGTCTTTGATGTCTGCCCACACTTGCGGTAGATGCCCTCAGAAGTCAGGCCTGCAGAGGGGGTGGCACTGAGCCGGGGGCGGGGCCTCGCAGCTAAGGTCAGAGGGATCCTGGGAAGGCGGGGTTTGGCCGGTGGTGCGGGAGACGCAAGAGGTCAGCCTCCCTGGGCGGGGTCTGTGTTACAGGGGCGGGGCTCACCACACTGCGTGATGTAGTCTATACAGCGGTAGACGATCACTGGGATATCTGAGTCTCCGAGTTGCTGCTCCGACAGCGTGTCCCCGGAGCTGGCCGCTGCTTTCTGGATGGCCCCCAGCCAGCCTGTGAAGTCCAGCCGCCGCTCCCCCTGGATGTACAGCGTCCTGGGTGTGGGGGGGATAGTCAGTCACTTGGGAGCCTACCCCTGCCCTACCCCTCCCAAGCCTGTCAGACAGACTGCCGCGGGCTTCTCAGAGCCCCCCAGGGAGGCCAGGGCTCACCTCCTTCGCTCCACCAGCACCAGCACCTGGTTCTCGCTGTCCCCTTGGACGGCTGTGGAGGGGCCGGTCGAGGTAAGGCCTTGTTCATGGTCCCCAACCGACTCCCTCCTGAGGTTCTCTGGGCACATACATCCCTGGGACCCACCCACCAATACATGGAGTCGCTGAGATACACCCCAAGGGCAGGAGAGGACATAAGAGGGCAGGCTGGCTCCTTCTGGCCAGGCCAGGGTAGAGTTCAGACTTCCAGGGAAGGGCTGGGGGCCTGGGAGCCCAGGATAGGGTGCCCTGGAAGTTGGGGGCCCAGGTCTAGGTCCACGCACAAAGCTCCTGCAGTTTCCGAAGTTGGAGCGGCTCCTCGCAGGGCCCCTCTGGGAAGACAGCACGGAGCTCGGAGCCAGTGAGGGAGAACCAGCCCTCCTGGGCTCGCTGTAGGCTCAGGCCAGCTTTGTAGGGTAGGCGCCCAAGCCGCTCAAAATCCCGGGCCAGCAGATCTTCAGCCAGGGGAGGTATGAACGCCTGATGGGGAGGCCAGAGGGGAGGTGGCCAAAGAGACCGCATCAGCCAACAGCAATGCCGGCCTCCCCCCTCCCCACCCCCACCCCTTGCCCCAGGCTCTTTGGCTTGTAGGCATATACCCATTTCCCACCTTGCTGCCTCCTCTCTTCCCCTGGGCAGGACCTAGCACAGTAAATAAACTCAGGTATCATGCCCCACTCATACGCACTCTTATGTTCCCTCCTCAGGAAAACGTTCCCAGACACCTTCAGGGATGCCCCTTTTCTGCCCTCTATTGCGGCACTGACCACAGTATTCTTGCTGTCAGGGACCCAGCTATCTCCCCCATCAGCAAAGGAGCTATTGAAGAGCCAGGACCAAGACTGGTTCATCTGGGTTCCCAGAGCTCAGAGGACTAACCGTCAAGGAGGCTCACAGATGACTGATCAGAGACCGAGTAAATAAGAGTCACAGGACCTCACAGCACAGGGGGACCCAGAGGGCACCTGGCTCTAATCCCCAGGACAGAGCTCTGCAGCCTCCCTGCCTCTTTGCTCCTGAACAAGATGCTCACTCTTCCTGGAGTCAGCACTATCTATCCTAATATGGCTGTTACACATTATTGTATTGAGCACCTGTGGAGTGCAAAGCTCACAGCCCTTCTTCCACATGGTTGAGACCGGTCTCTTGACGTCCCCCCTAGGGGGCTGCAGATGCTGACATATCTGGCCCTTGGCCCCAGAAGCCTGCCCTATGTCTGCTCCCTCCATTCATGAGGCAGGAGAGATGGGGTACACGGGATCAGCCGGGAGATCCCACCCCAGCCCCTGTCAGACTTCCCACACCTGTCCACTAACTCAGGCCCACCTTAGCAATGCACTTGACCCACTCACGAGCCAGCTCTGCACTCTCCAGACCAAACAGGTACAGCCGCTCTCCCTCCGTGTACACCTCAAAGGTGTGCTCAAAGCTGTAGACACACAGGTCAGGATTCAGGCCCACTCAACCCAGCCATGACCCACCCTGCCCAGCCTTGCCGCCATCCCCTGCCCCCTGCCCTTTCCCTGGCCCCATAAGAAGGGATGGGAAAGTCCTAAACTGGGGCCTCCGGAGACCCACAGGGTTTGCTCTGTGACCCTGGGAAGGTTCTGACCCTCTCTGGGCCTGTTTCCCTATCTCCTGAATGGGGGCTTGGATCCCACAGCAATAAGAGTCTGTGATTCTGCCCCAGGGATACTCACCCGTGGGTGTCAGGAGGGGGCACTGCCAGGCACACAATCTCACTGGCCCGAATCTCACCGTTGGGGGTCACTGCCCGCTCATTCTCATAGTAGCTCAGGACCCCGTCGCTAAGGACACACCAGCGTCGGCTGAACTCTGGGAAGAAGTTGGGCAGGGGAGCCATGAGGGAGCCCCTGCCCTCCCCTGAAAACCCCCTCTGTATCCTCCCTGGGCCCCGACTCCCACCTGACTCATGTCCTCTTCGTTCTAACTCACAAGCTTCCCCTGATTCCATCCTCCTCCCTGCAGCCTGCCGCCCCAGCCCAGCCCACGCCTCTCCCCTGAACCACTGCAGTGACTTCTTCATTGGTGCCTCGACTTGCTTCTTCCAAGATTCAAAAGTGATCTAAGTAAAACCAGACTCCGTCCTTCCCGTGCTCAGAACTTTGCCATGTTCCCCTTATTCTATACACCTCAGACTGGCATTCAAGGCCCTGCTGGGTCTGCCCCTACCCTCCTCTCCAACCACTTCTGGGCATATACCTCGCCCTTCCCACTTTTGCTCACCTTGTTTCCTCCACCCACACCCTCCATCCTTTAAGAACAGCCCATATGTCACAGAAAGTTTCCATGCCCACCCCATGCTCCCACCCTCCCCTGCCAGTGACACACATTGCTCTATGTTTCTTCCTATAATGGCACTGAGAAAACTGACAAGATCCCATAAAGGAACAGCAATGGGGATCTGGACCAGGAAAGGCAGGAGAAAGAACAGAATGTCAAGGCCACGCAGGCTTATATAGTTCGTAGCATTGAGCTTCACATTGGCTCAGAGCTTCCTGGCATCCAGGGCAAAAAGGATGACTCAAGCAGTTACATAAATGACATTATCAGGCAGAAGGAGGTAGACGAGGGGCAGTGCCCCAGGGGCAGTGAGGTGGTGAACAGCACAGAGTTCCAAAGAAATCTCTTTGGGTATTAGAGGGTGTCACAGAGGGGTGCTGAGGGACGCAGGGAGCAATGGTCTCAATAATGTTCCCAAAGCAGACACTGTCTCTTGTCCTATCTGTGAGGATATGCCATCTGCCCTCTGAGGGCAGTGTGTCCCAGAGTCTGCCCCCCAGGCTGGGGCCCTCCAGAAGCAGTGGCCCTGCCTCGGTCACTCTTCATCCTGTGATGTCTGTCAAGTGCCCACTGTGCTAGGAGCTGTTCTAGGTGCTGGGGCTACAGCGGTGGCCGAGAGGAGCTTATATTCCAGTGTGGCACAGAGAATCAATAGATACATCTATACGCAGACAAATTAACGTCAGATAAGTGGCATGAAGTTAGGGTAAAAGTAAATAGAGCATGCTAATTTGGGTAAAATGGTTATGGATGAAGTCTCTAAGGAGTAACATTTTTTTTTTAATGTTTGTTTATTTGAGGGAGAGAGAGTGAGAGAGCGCACGTGTGTGTGGGTGAACAGGGAAGAGGCAGAACGAGAGGGAAACAGAGGATCCGAAGTGGGCTCCATGCTGACAGCAGAGAGCCCAGTATGGGGCTCAAACTCATGAACTGTGAGACCGTGACCTGAGCCGAAGATGGACGCTTAACTGACTGAGTCACCCAGGCCTCCCTCTAAGGAGTAACATTTAAACAGAGACCTGACTCGGGGCACCTGGGTGGCTCAGTCAGTTAAACATCTGACTTCAGCTCAGGTCATGATCTCACGGTTGGCGAGTCCTAGCCCCTCATTGGGCTCACTGCTGTCAGCGTGGAGCCCCTGCTTTGGAATCTGTCTCCCTCTCTCTGCCCCTTCCACTCTTGCTCTCTCTCTCTCAAACATAAATAAACATTAAAACATTAAAAATAAAATAAAATAAACAGAGATCCGACTGAAGCGAGAGACTGATCGTGCAGATATTTTGGCGAAAATCATTTTGGGCAGGGGGCAGAGCAAATGTAAAGGCCCTGGTGGAAGTAAATATACATGTCTGAGAAACAGCAAGGAGGCCAGTAAAGCTGGAGCAGAGTGAGTGAGGGGAGAGGGGTCAGAAGTCACAGGGTGGGAGGGCTGACTGGCAGGTCCTTGTGGGATATGGGAAGGACTGCGGATTGTACTCAGAGCTGGGGAGCAAATGGAAGGCAGAGAGGACGAAGGGGAGGAGCTCTGAGCTTAGCTCTGTCTGGCTCTAACTATCAGAGGCCCAGCACCCAGCAGGCGCTCAATCAAGGCTTTTATAGCCTAAAGGCACTCTAGCAGTGACTTGCTCCGCAGTGCCAGGCCCCACTCCCACCCCTATTCGCCCATTTATTAAGCATCTACTATGTACTAGAGACCACATCCTGGAAGCCCTCTAGGGTGACTCTGCCAGAGTATACTTGGCACCCTCCTTGGTCACCAGTGCAGACAGCCCTGGCTTCTCTGGCCCGGCCACCATGCCAGAACACCATGGCAAGAACGGGGTCTGCCCAACACCCACCTTCCCGGGCACGGCGGTCCTGCAGCAGCTTGGCGGCAGAAGCAGTCTTGTAGAGGAAGCCACTGTGGCTCACGGTCGGCAAGACAACTGAGTAGTGCTTTTCCAGAGGCTTCGCTGAATCCAGCCGAGGCACCTCTTTAGGGAAGGTGTTGGGGGGGTGGGGTGTATGGTGAGGAACAGCTGCTCGTGCTCACCATCCCAGGGTGTCTCCCCTCACCCCTGCCTGGGTCGAGCATCCGAGCTTACATTCAAGCCACCAGTCCTCTATCACCTTCAGGGTCTCAGTGCCACATCCAGGGCTTTGCCCAAGTCATTCTCCACCTCCTCCCGCTTGTGCAAATTCCACCCTAGTTCCAAGGCCCAGCTCCAGTACCTTCCCTGCCAGGAAGCCCCCCAACTCCCCAGCCCAGCCTACCCCACTTTCTCTGTTGAGGCACAGGGCTAGCACACTAGAATGAGGGGTCTTGGCAAACTCACTAACAATCCCCAGAAGGAGGTCTGTCCCAGACAATGCAAAGCCTAAGGAAGCAGCCCGGCTCCAGTCCCGCTCCCAGCGGTCCCAAAGCTCAAGCCAGCTGGGTGGTCTCCTGTGCCTCCCTGGACACCTGGGCTTGCTCCAGCCCAGCACACCCCACCCACCCGTGGCCACGAGCCAAGCTCTGGCCTCTGAGCTCCACCCTCAGTCCTGGGATATGGCCCCAGAGGCCAGCCCCGGGCCATGACCGGCAGGGCTCACCCCCGCCATCCCCTCCTCACTCACCCGGAGAGTGATAGCCAAATGGGCCCCAACCCCAGTCTGTGACAGAGCCCCACCCAGACAAAGCAGCAGACAGGGCTGCCATTGTGGGCCACTCGCACATAGAGAAATGCAACCCCCACACAGCAACTCAGCTACTCTGTACACACACAAACTCCAAAGCCCTCGACACCCCCAGGTGTGAGGAAACACAGATCTGCAGCAGCTCAGAGATGCCCAGACGGTGGCAGGCAGAAGGCCCTGCTGCAGGTCTGGGCGGGACCCACAAATCCAGAAAGAGATGCAGAGACAGACACAAAGGGACACACGTACGAGGGGGAAGCCAGATGCACAAATGTACACTGACATGCAAACCCAAACAGACCCCAAGTCACACGCTGTTGTAGGGCCCCTCAAGGAGCTGCTATCACAGCCCACGTGGTACACATATCTAACCCCACAGGGTGATACACCGCTTCTGGTGACCCCCACCCAGCACCCCTTTCAAAAGGCCAGACGGTGGCAGCAGGGAGGCCCCATCCCTCAAGGTGGACAGTCCCATCAGCCACTCACCCGTGGTCCGGTTGTTCCGTAGGAATTCCATCTGCAGCGCCTGCCCTGCCTGCTCGGCAAGAGCCAGGGGCGTGGGGGCCTCAGGGTCCCCTGAGAAGCAGTTGACTCCAGCCCCACAGCCCAGGAGAGCTTGGGTCTCAGCCAGGTCTGTGGTAGTGACTGCAGCACACAGAGCCTGGGAGGAGGGAGGAAGAGGGAGGGGAGGGTCAGCCTAAGTCAGAGTGGGGGGACAGTGGGAAAGGGGGCCTGGGGGAAGAGAGGAAGGGAGTGGAAGGAGTCACCCAAGTCTGGGGGCCCATCCTCAGGTTGAAAGAGAAAAGAGGCAGGAAGAAAGCCAGAGAGGAAAGGGGGAGGAAGAGAAAGGCCAAGGGGTTAGGAGGGTAGGTAGGGGCTGCCCTGCAGAGGCTGGGGATCCGAGTGGCCCAGGGCTCACCCCTGCTGGCAGCCCCTGGGATCCAGTCAGCCGCCAAGCCTGTTCTCTAGAGGATCTCAAGCTCCCTCTGCCTTGTGGAAGGGCAGAGCGGGGTGCTTTGTAGCTAATTCCTCCCACATTTGAATTCCTCACTGCCTGCCCAGCCCTCTCAACCAATGGGAGTTGCTGCCCCTCCTAGCTGGCGGGCTAGACTGGGCTGGGCTGGGGGCTGGACGCCTGGGTTCCTGGGAGGTGGAGGTCTGGCTCCCACTGGGCTTCTAGCTAGACTGAGCCTTCCTGGGTGGGGCTGCTTGGGGGGAGGGGCTGAAGGCCAATCAGAGGTCACAGTGGCATCCCCCTGCCTCGGAGCAGGCTACCTCCCACTCAGGCTGAGCCAGACCAGGGCCCGGGGCTTGGCTCCCAGCCTGTCAGGGCCTGGGGCCCATGTGGGGCCTCATCTTGAGTGGGGTGTGGATGGGGGGGGGTGGGTCAGAGCAGCCAGCTGTTTTTCATGAGCCTGACAGGAAATAGCATCCCCATCAAGTTCACTCCTTTTGGCAGGATTCACAAGGAGCAGGACGGTTCGGGAGACAGAGGAATCAAGAGGGGAGGGAGGCAGACAGATGCTGGGGATGTGGCCTTGGCCCAAGGGTCAGGCCTGACTCCTCCTTCCTTTGCTCCAACTCTCCCTGTGGCTCAGGCAGGGTCCTTCTGCCCTCTGGGCCTCAGTTTCCCTATATACCAAGCTCATCGCTCTGAGCTGATGCAAAAGATGAGTTGAAACACAGAGAGCAATGAGGGGAGCAGAAAGAAAGTGGGTGGTCTCCAGGAGCCCCAGAGGCCCAATGCCCTGACCTTGTCCAGTTCCTCCTGGTTGCCAAAGAGCGGGTGATAGCGGCGGTACTTGCCCTCACGGTATTTGGCCTCCAGGTGGCGCCGCCGGGCACTGGGGCTGCTGCTGGGCTGCAGAGCCTCACTGGGGGGTACATTGGCTGCCCAGAAGCGGTTCCCAGGGCCATTGCCCAGCTGTAAGAAGAGCTGTGGGTTTGGGCAAGAGGTTAGAGAGGCAGCTTATGTCCAGAGGCCCGTTCTTATAAAATCTTCGAGGTTGTCAGGCAAGGGGCTGGGAGAGCCAGGCCACCTACCCACTTTCCAATCCGGGAAGCTGAGGGGCAGCCTGGCCTGCTGGTGGCTGTGAGCCCAAGCCTAGTCCCTCAGCTCAACGACAGGACGAGAGGCAGACCGAGGCAGACCGTCTGCCAGGTAGACGCCCCAGGCCTGGTGCCTGGTTGGGGGCCTTACTATTTCCCACATCTGGAACTCTGTATTCCTGAGGCTATCACAGCCTGGGCAAGGGTCACGGGTTGGGGGCGGCGGCTGACCTGTTAGCCAATGGAGTGGGTAGGGATTTTGGAAACCTCTCCTGTCCTTGACATTCCTCTCTGGGCTCAGGGGAGGAGGAGCAGGGGCTAATGCTGGGGGGCAGATACAAGAATCCAGTAACTAGGGAACTAGTCTATTAATCCCTTCATCCTGCTGATCATTCATTCCACAGCCATTTCCTGGGCCCCCCACCCTGCCTCCTTGTCAGGCCCTGTGTGGGGTCCTGGGTCACAGAAGAGAATAAAGCAGAAACAGGCTCCACCACCACCGACTTACTCTGTGACTTCGGGCAAGTCATTTTCTCTCCCTGAGCCTCAGTGTCCTCATGTTTAACCTGGGGATTCTAACCCTAACTCACAGGAGATGTGACACCCAAACTGAAGCGTGGCTGGGGCTGTCAGGTAGGCCCGTGTGGTCAGCCTCCCGTTGCACGGTTCTCCTCTGTGACCACCACATGTGTCAGTACCTGGGAACCCCAAGTACACAGGCACATATGCACATGTAAGTATGCCCCCAAACGTACATACTCACACCCACTGGCATATGTGAGTGAAGATGAAACGACATTTTAGGCTCTGCAGGACAGTTTCTGTGGTATATTCCTTTTTTTTTTTTTTTTTTTACAACCCTTTAAAACTGTAGAAACATTCTTAGCTCACTGGCCAGTTTGCTGACTTTGCCAAAAATCAACTTTTCCAAAATCCCCACCCACTAGATGATCCCCAAGGTCTCTTCTAGCTCCAGGGTGCCGGGGTCTGTGAGATGGGGGAGACCCAGGCAGTAGCTGAGTGGAGCTGACCCCAAATGTAGGCGGCGGGCAAGGCCTCCCCACCTCAATGAGTGTTTCCGTCCACACCTTCCTGTCCATCTTCAGGCTCCGCACCTTGGAGACCCCAGCGCCTAGGCCACGGTGCTCCCCTATAGACAGAGGGCTAGACTCAGGGTCATGGGTCTTTAGGGCTCTCTCCTTCATATAAGCACTAACCTTCCCCCCATCCTTGCCTCCCCATAGAGCCCATCCAGGGCAGACAGGGAGAGGTCACTCACACACCACTCTGGAAACCAGCCACGCATCCCCCTGCTCTTGGCACCACAGAACTGAGCCCTGTAAAGTCACCTGGGCTCCTGCAGCAGTGCCCCCGCCCCCACCCGCCCCACCCCCCCGTCACTCCCCACAGGCCACTCTCTGCACAGCCCAGCCCGCATGGAGTTTTTGGGGCTTTGTCTGTGTTTTTCTTTAAGTAAGCTTTATGCCCAACATGGGGCTTGAACTCATGACTCTCCCACCCCCCTCCTCCTCCTCCCAGATCAAGAGTCACACACAAACTGAGCCAGCCAGGTGCCCCCAGAGTGATCTCTTTAAAAAGCAAATCTCCTTACAACAAATCCCTGCTTTAGACCCTCCAATGGCTCCCCAGAATTAGATGCGAATTCCCTACCTGCTTCTTCAACTTCATCTCAGAATTTTCCCCAACCCCAATCCCCCTGGGCCATACTCTCTTCCCTCTTCCTATCAACCAACCTCATTCCTGCCTCAGGGCCTTTGCCCTCACAGTTCTTTCTGCTTGGATTCTCTTCCCCCATCTCCCCAGGGTCTGCTCCCTCCTCCCATCCAGATCTCAGCTGACATGTCATCTCTTCAGAGAGGGCTTCCTGACAGACACATTATCTGCCTAGCACTTTATTACCTGATGTTTTTATTGGTTCATATATGTATTTTCTGCCTCTCCCCAACAGAATGTAAGCTGCTTGAGAGCAGGAACCTTGACTGTCAGCTTTAGGATCTAGCCTCCGTGCCTAGAATAAAGTCTAGCACATAGTGAGCACTTAGTAAATCTCTGTGGAATGAGAGGGCAGGGGGAGTTGGGGCTGGAGGGAATGCAGCCTTGCTCAGCTATAGGTCCCACGAAGGACCCCGGGGTAGGGAGGAGGCTGGGGCTCTAGGAGTGCCTAGCACTGCCTGGTTCTGGCTTCAGCCTCACGCCCTCTGCAACCTCTCATGGAGCACCTCTTCCACTCCAGTCACCCATATGCCTCCGTGAGCTGACACCTTTCTAAATCGAGTCATTTCTTTCCTGCACCCAGACCTCACAGCCCAAGGCCTCCTGGACCTTAGCCCTAGATGTCCCACAGGCTTCAGGGCTTCTTACTGAGCTCAGCGCCTTCCCCAGAACTGTCCCCCGCACCCCAGATCCCCATCTCAAGCTGCCCAAAGCTGCCACCTGGGCACCATCAGCTCCCAGGAGAGCCAAATCCCCAATACCTCACAGTGTCTGGCATACCACAGACCCCCAATAAATGCCGGTTCAGTAGATGAATCAATCTTAGGCTCCAGTCTTTCTTTCTCACCCTCCTCATCTGATCCGTCCCTGAGACCTTTACACTGCAGATCCTGCACATCTCTCAAGCGCTCTCCATCGCTTCCACAGACCAGCCCTTAGCCTGTTCTTCTCTCTAATGGATCCATTAACAGCCTCCCCGCTGGTCTCCAGTCTCACCTTTCCAACTCGGATTCCACCCACCAGCCAGAGTCTGAGGCACAAATCTGACCATTTCCCTCCCACTCCTGCCTCCCATCACCTCCAGATGAAACACTAGCTCCTCCCACTGCCTGCAACGCCCTGCCAGCTCCTCCTGTCTCACTTCTTTCCACTCCTCTGATGTGACAGGGTGCCGGACCCCAACAGGCCTGGGCTCAAATCCACACTTACTTGACAGGCCACCCTGAACAAGCCATTTCCCCTCTCTGTGCTTCAGTGTCCTTACCCATGGCATGAGCAGTTAACCCCTGCTTTACAATCTCAGGACTGAGGGCTAATCGCAGTGGGAAAGGCCTGGCATACAGGTACAACTTCATCAACAACAATCTGATTACCGTCTTGGGTCCAGCCCCTCTAGCCAGATGGGCCACCTACCATCCCAACACACCAGCCCTGTCATGCTTCAGCCTGGTGCCCCAGCCCCACACACCTGCACAGCGCTTGCAGATGACGACACAGAGGTTGATGGAGGCCCAGTCAGGCTGGGCAGCCCCGCAGTCGGCACAGAACCTGTTGGGGGCCACAGCCCAGATGCGCTCGGCCACCTCCAAGGTAGACAGGGCCTCGGCAATGGCTCCCTGCATGGCCTCCAGCCACTGCTCCTTCTCTAGTTCCGATTCGGCCGAGAAGCTAGGGACACAGGAGTGGGGGGTGGGGGCTGGTGGGAAAGGGCTCAGAGAGATTTGCAGGCAGCATGAGGAGGCACAGCCTTGGGCGGGGGGGGGGGGGCGGGGGGGCAGGAACAAGGCATTGAGCACTCATAACCAGAAGAGGGTGGCATCCTGGGTCTGTGGGGAAGGTGGGCATGGACAAAAGCAAGGACACTATGAACCTGAGAGATACACGGGAGCTGGGGGAGCCCAGAGTTGCCTCTGCCCCACGCAGAGACTAGAAAAGGCTGCCGGGGGAAAAAATAATGCCCGAGCTAAGACGTGACAGATGAAAAGGGCTTAGCCAGAGGAGGCAGAAAGGAGTTCTAGACAAAGGGAACAGCATGTGCAAAGGGGTGGGATGGCACACAGGCATTCCAGGACCTGCAGGCAGGATGGGCAGACGTGCAGACAAGAGGTTGGGAGACATACAGGGACAAGCCTGTGTCAGGCAGAAGAGGGCAAAGTGCACCCAGAGGACAACAGAGATGCAGTGGAGAGTTTCAGTGGGGTGGAGGTTTCACCTTCAGGATGAGAGGATACAGAGGTGTCTTCCTCTGGTTTTTTATTTCCCTGCTGCCACCACACCACATATGTATGCATTCAAGATTTGGCTACCCCCATCACCCACCACCATGGCCAAAAAAGGCATCGCTGTTAGAGGTGTGACAGGCTATAATGCTGCTTTACAAGAGGGGCTGAAGACCATGCTCATCCACAAAGGCCTAAGATGTGGAATCTGCAAGCTGCCAAGGCCTTAGCTAAGCACTAAGCCCGTCTTTGTGTTCTTACGTCCAACTGTCTCAGCCTACATGTCAGGAGGGTGGAGGCCCCTGGTGCCGAACACCAAATCAACCTAATTAAGGTTGATGACAACAAGAAAGTAGGTGAATAGGCAGGCTTCTGGAAAACGCTGGAAGGTGGCTGGTCACGGTTGCATGGTAGTTAAGGATGACAACAAAGAATCCCAGGCCAATGATGTCATCAAAGAGAACTTCAAATGCAAGAAATAAACAAATAAAAAATTGGCTTTCAACAAAAAGAAAAGGCCCTGCAGGCAGTTGTAGACAATCAGCTAATGGATGAGGAAGCACCACAGCCACTGCCAGAGGCCCCCCTGGCCTGGGACAAAATGGGAGGGACAGAGGCGAGGCGCCAGACAAAGGTGAGAGAGTGATGGGGGCAAGACAGGGGTTGTGACGGGTGTCCCCAGGGCTGAGCAGGAGAGGCAGACATTCCCATGGGTGGAGATACGGGCCTGGGAGGTACAGGGAGTCGAGGAGGAATCCACAAAACTGTTAGACATACAGGTGGAGCTCAGGAAAAAGTCCCTGGGGGAGAAGAGATCTGAGCTAAGAGTAAAAGAAATGATGACGGAGGCATGATGGCATCAGTGTTGACAGAGCAATTACTGCATACCGCGTCAGGTAAGGGCTTTACAAAGACTGTCGTGGTCTTACAGAGGAAGAAACCAAGGCACAGAGAGGTCAAGCGATTTGCCCAGGTCACACAGTGACCCAGTGGTGGACCCAGAATGTTATGGACCGAACTGTGGTCCCCCAGTGTGACTGCATCTGGAGACAGGGCCTTGAGGGAGGTAATTAAGGTTAAATAATGTCTTAAGAGGGGGGCTCTAACCTGGTAAGATTGGTTTCTTTACAGAAAGAGGAAGGGATGCCAGATAGCTCACTCTCTTTCTACATGCGCACAGAGGAAAAGTCGCATGAGGACACAGTGAGGAGGTAGCCATCTACCAGGAAGAGGGGCCTCACCAGAAACTAACACGGACGGCTCCTTGACCTTAGACTTCCAGCCTCCAGAACTGTGAGAAAATAAACTTTTGTTGTTTAAGTCCCCCAGTCTGTGCTATTCTGTCATGCATGGCAGCCAGGCTAATATACACGATTTGAACTCAGGCATGGCACAGTGCCTCAGAGGTGGCAGGTGATGGCCTGGGAGTGAGGTGGGGGGGGAGGTGGAAAGTGATGGTCAGAGAGGGGGTGGGGTAAAAGTGAGATTTCTTAGAAGGGAGGGATCAGAAGAGATTAGCGAGTGGAGGTAAAGGACCAGTGCGGATGGTCAGGGTTGGGAAGGGAGGGGAGAAATCCATCCTAGAAGGGGCAGGTTTCCACACAAGCAAGAAGAAAAATGCTGACAGGGACTGATGATGCAGGTAAGCGAGGGGAGGGAGGCTCACCTGAAGATGCGGTAGGGGGTGGTGAGGTCGAAGCTGCGCCGGTCTGCTTCCTTCACGTTGCCTACGTTCATGTCAATGAAGGTGATGCCAATGCCCAGGTGGTACTCCTGGCAGGTAGGTGGGAAGGGGTGAGGGCAAGGCCTGGGGGGTGGGGCTCAAAGGCCCAGGGAGGGACAGAGAGGAAGGGGAGGTAGAACCCTAGGGACTAGAAAAGTACCTTGGAAGGAGATAAAGGAGGGTACAGGAATCTGGAAATGGGTCAATGGACCCAGGCTCAGAGGCCGTGTAGCAGTAGGGAAGGAGAGCAGGAGGCAGGGAGGTGATGGGAAGGTAATGCTCAGGAACCAGGCAGGGGATAGTGTCAGGACTGGGAGCAGGAAGCGTGGCTGGCACAGGGCTGAGCTCAGTCAGGGGAAGGAAGAAAGGGAAAGGACAGGCTGAGGGACCAGGGTAGGCATAGGGCAGACTGAGGGATGAGGTGGGCAGGGGGCAGGCTGAGGGATGAGGTGGGCAGGGGGCAGGCTGAGGGGCC